GGGGGGGGGGGGGAGGATCTGATCTAGAGTGGAATGGAGGGAAGGGAAGCTTAAAATTGAGTTGAGGGGAGCGGAGGCGCGGAGAGGATTGTAGAAGGGGCGGGTGGCATTAGGGTTTCCTGCTATAGTCGCTAGCCCCTTTTGTTCTTTTAAGTTTTGGGTCTTTTGGCTTGGGCCTCCAATTCAGTTTCTAGGAGGTCCATTTCGGTTTTTGATTTTTGAAAAGCCCAACCGAAACCAAATTGAAGTTCATTCGAGTAATGCCAAACCCGATCTTTGAAACTCAAAAATTGATATCACCAAACCGAATTCATTTTTCGGGTTGATTTTCTGGTAATCATTCAGTTACCCACCTGAATGCCCAAGCCTAGTACTTATAATGATAGTCAATAATGCTATTGCGGCCGAGGGTGCCCATGCCGACAGAACGCGGCCATGCCAATGATATTAGGCAGGCAGACTACGTTGACCCTATGCCCGGATCCTACTTTTGGTTTCCACTAGTACATCATACACGTAGTTATTTCTTGGCCTTTCACTGTTTCTTTTACTCCCTCAATGGTCCAATTCACCACCAGATCATTTTGTTTCTATTTTTTCCAATCGATGATTTCAGCCTCTTTCACCCTTTTACTTTCTATGTGGGCAAGCTTCAAGGGGGAACAAGCGGGAGACCGTAATACCTCGGTCATTTCTATTTCCACACAATTTTAAGCTAATTTCAACTACTTATCTTAATATCTTGCTTAAATGTTCATCAATTTTATTTCTTTCACTTTAATTATTGTGGATTTAGTTGAACCCACTTAGACATCAATTGGGTTTCTCAAGTCTTCAAATGGGTTGGCTTCTTTCCAGCTTCAAGTGGATTTTCTTAAGCACTAAGTGATTTCAGACCTTGACTCACTGATTATTTTGATTAGAATGATTACTATGTTCTTTGTTTCTTCATTTTTTTTGGTTTCTTCCTCTCTTTTTTTTATCAATCAAATGTTTAGATCTTTAGCATACCCTTATATATATATATAACGAGAATAATGAAAATTAGGTTGCACTTTAAATGGTAGAATATTTGTAAAATTATTTAGATATTTTTAATAATTTTTTATTCATTAATTAATTAAAAATGTTTTAATTTTTTATTATTAATTTTATTTTTTTATTACAAACATGATTTGACCTCTTAATCAGTACAATTAAAAAATAAAAAATAAAGATATCAAAATTTTAAATACCACTACACTTTTCACCGCCATTAGACCATCATGATGTTGGCACAAGGTTTGATTCTTCTTCAAATTTCAAAATGGGTTAAAGCCCACAATAGTCCCTCTACTTTCAATTTTCGTTCATTGTCCTCCCTGTACTTACATTTCATTCAAAGCTCTCCCTTTACTTTTCCAAACCATACTATAGTCCACCCTCTAGTTTAACTTTTCATAACAATTACCTCCCTCCCCTAACACCACACTGACACCGTTTCTAACTCCCATCTCACGGAAATTTCTTGGACCATTAAGAGTGATGGTTTCCCTTCTTCTTTTTTTTTTTTTTTAATTGTGTTATGTAAACAAAAATCTTGCAAGATTTATGTACTTGATTAATTAAAAAAGTAACAATGTGTTTTCCCATAATTAATCAACTAAAACTAGGGGTACATGAATTATTATCACATCCTAAAGTTTTTTTTTTTTTTTCCATCACATCTTAAAATGTTAGGCATTATTTGTTCATAATATGTTGTATAATATTGTGCTGGAACTTAAATATTTTAATAAAAAACAAAATAATATATTTTATAAATTAAATTTATTGTCCTATTAAGGACTTAGTCAAACTAACCATTATAAGTTAACTATCCTACTTAAGGGTACATTATTTCATAATAATTACTTAATTTATTCTTATCATTAACTTACAAATGGGAGTTACAAGACCATAAGTCCTATAAATAGGACATGTCTTTAAGCTCAACTAAGGAAGTTCCTCCACATTCTTCTATTTTCTTACCTTTGTCTTCTAAATATTTTTTGGGTAAAGAAGAGTGTTTTGAGTTAGGTAATTCTATGGGTAGTGCAGATTCATAGAGTGTTATTATAAGGTTGTAGTATCTTAGGGGCAACATGCTAAATGTATCTCTATTGCATTAGTTGATCTACTCTTTGTAGAGGCATGAATCGCCTTAAAGTAAGTAAGTTCTTTATGCCTATTACGATGATATTTTCTTATCAATATTTCTTGATAAGTTCATTAATTATTATTTTATTTAATCTTGTGACCGAGGCACAACAATGACATGATATGGAGATGGAGGAGAGTGTTCGAGGAAAAACAATTTTAAGGTGATTCAATATGCAAAGCAAATGCACTTCTATTATACAATAAGGTATAATGGTGCTTAACAAAGTAAATATGATATGCATTTATACAATTATGGTATAATGGTGTATAATGAAAAAAAGAGTAAGGCACTTTACTTGAATAGAAGGGATATGCTTTGATGGACATTCCTATTGTACAATAAGGTACAATGGTGTTTGAGTTAAAAAATTCTTAAATACATGTCTCTACGTGTATAGAAAAAAGAAAGGGATGGTTTACTAGCTCAATTTGATATCAAAATTGTGGTACCATGAATTGAGAATTTGGGAAATATGAATGTGAATTTTATGAGCTAGTAGATATTGTGGGTTGATGTGAAAAAGTGAGAAAAAGAATGAGTTAAATCTCTTTGTTACCCATTATACCACTGTCATAACCCAATTTTAATTAGGGCTAAATGATAAAATTAGAAGGCAATGGACTAATTTTTATAAAGGCTGGAAACTTGAAGGGTTGAGAAGAAAAGTGGCAAAACGACGTCGTTTTGATTGTAGGTTGAAATAAAGAGCCCTAGCCGCCCAAGACTCATCCCGTTGCTCTGCCTCCAACCTCTTTCAAACAGAAAAATCATAAAATTTCCTTGGCTTATCCCTAAATCTACTCAAGTTTTGAAGAGATTTTCGGAGATTGAAAGTCATCAACAAGAGGCGCAAAAGAAGAGTTCGAAATTGATTCAAAGTGGGGAGTTCTAAACTCAAAAGGTATGAATCTAGACTTGAAAAGGGGTAGATGTGGGGAAAACTAAGAAACCCCATTCCAAATAGGATTGGGTTGTTATCTTAGGGATTGGGATTTGAGTATTAGAAGCACATTAGGATTGGGTTTTACTTTTGTCTATAAAAAGGAGGGGCTTTTGGCTTCTAAGGGAGGTTGAAAATTGGGGGAAAATTGGGGAAATTTTGGGGGAAACAAATCGGGAGAAGGGAAGAAAATTGGTGAAGCCCGGAAGGAATATTGGAAAGATCGAGAGTGAGAAAGGCAAATCAGAAAGTTGTACTTGGAATTCAAGAAGTAAAGTCTTGATTTTTTCTATTTTCTGCAGGTGTGCATCATTCTTAATTTTCTTTTTGTCCTTCTGCGTTGCTTTCCTATTGTATTCTGTTCTTTCTCTTTTCCTTTTTGCCTTTGGTGATTGCTTGATTCCCCTTTTAAGCCATTTTCTTCCATGTTTGCTGAAATTAATTTTGATCGAGAAAGAAAAAAAAGTTTATAGATCAGGTTATATTAATTGTTGGGAATAATGGAGAATCTTTTCGGGAGAGTCTATTTTGTTTTGTTTTTGTTTTGTTTACCCATAAAGCTTTCTTTTTTTTTCTCTCGGAAATATTAGATGCATCAGGTAAAAGGAAAGAAAAAGTAAAAGGAACTTTCTTGATAGTTGGGTTTAAAAAAAAAAAATTAGAAAGAAAAACAAGCAGAGGCGAAAAGAGAGTAGGGGAGGAAACAGTGCAGAAAAAGGAAAAGGAAAACTAAAAAAGAAAAGAAAAAGAAAAAAAGCAAAAAGGGCAGAAACGAAAAAAAAGGAAA